ATTATACAAAAGACACAAAATCAATAAATCAGAAAATTAACATTGCAACGATAAAATCAACATTTATAAAATAAAGTCGACGATAAATTGATGATTTTGACAAAAATTTAAATACTACATTTTAATAGTTCGGTGGATGCTTGCACATCTCTAAGATGTAATCGACCGTTTTTCAGACCGTCGCCTCAAACTCGAGCGGAATTTTCTCTTCGAAACTAAAATATGTTCTCCACATCGTCCTAACATCGTCTTGATTTTTGAGCTCAAACTTGCTGTAAACAATGTTCTCTTCATTGTCAACTGAAGGTGAATGATACTCAAGTTTCACAACCTTTCGTTTGTCATTGTAAGGTATACGATATTGAATCTCGTCTATGATCAATGAGCTTGAACATCTTCCCAGGTGTTTAGCTGTTGGAAAAGAAGACACTTGCGACATTGTTTCCCTTGAAAATTGGAAAACAACCGCTGATCTTTCAAATCTAACTTTGGTGACTCACAGAATCAATCAGATTGATCCTAGGACATGTGCTAAATTCTACTTGAAAGAAAACTACCTAAAACTAAACACTTCGACAGTGTTCTTGAAGAAAAGGTAAGGTTCGACTGAAATGAAAGGACATGAATTTATAGGAAACAAAGTAAAGAGCCTTTAAAATATTTAAACAAAGTAAAGCAGAATGCAAGAAAGTAAAGATAAACTCTTTAAGATTAAGCAAAATAAGTTTCATTAAAGCGTAGAAATGGTGTGTTTACATGACGTACATTCTCCTAGAACTCGTTTCTCTACACTCGCATACTTTGAGTAATTTTGGGAGTAACTTGTACAATAGTAAATTACAACACACTGGATTCCATTGCTAAAACCCTTATTTATAATAATACAATTAACTGCCATTAACCTCCTAAAATGACCAGCCCATGACAAGTGTCAAATCACATGTACTCACTTGCTGCATGTGTGCCACTTGTCTTGTTTAGTCATAAGAAAGCATAACTACTCCTTCCTTTATTTGAATTTCAAAATTCCACTAATACTTAACCAACAACCTCGACCGAAGGTGGCATCTTTAGTATTTGGAAATATTTTCTAAGTCCTAAATACTTAAATAACTCAGCCTACTCGAAGGTCTCTCTACTCGAAGATTTTTCATACTTCTTCAAGAATTTAATATTTCATCCAAACATTTCAATTTAGTATGGGCGTCGAATTTGTAAACTAACAAATTGCCCCCCAAAAATGTCTTTTTCGACCATGCTGAAGAAAAAAGACTATTTTTTGACAGCATCCAATTCGACGCCATCTTTCGACCTCCACATAGATGTCAATGCAACTAACTACCCATGACTTTTGAAAAACTGTTCAGTTACTTTCACGCATGTCTATGACGTCATGGGCCATTATGAACAATTCCTTGGAAACCCCACAAAATCCCAGACCATCATCACTTTTTTAGGACCTATGAAATCGTGGGTCTAGGCAATAACTGCCACCGCCCCCATTTTCAATCCTGGGACGCCGCGTTTCCTACTACTCTTAGCCCTCAATGATGAATAGTGGCTTTTGATTACTTCAAAAACGCCATATAAATAATTTCACCAGAAAACTTTTTAAACTTTTTTCACTCTAGCAATCACTTACGCATCTCTTCTAAAAATACTCCCAATCTTTCTTCAGTAATCCATTTTTACCAAAACTTCATCAATGTCGTCTTCTACTGCTACCACCAAAGATCAGAAGAAAAATCCCCAGGCCAAAGGACTACAAGCTGCGTCACTACTTCCTCCTTTCACCACACTAAGTGGGCCTAAGATGGAGAATAACCAACAATTTATCCTTGAACCTCTTATAGAAGAAAAGAGACACATTTATGAATCGTAGGTAATAATCCCTATCACTGTTGCAGGTAAGTCCTTAACTTTGGCTGACCCTTTGTCTCCCTTAGAAACCAATTATTCAACCCTTAGTGACTTTCTTTCCTTCTTTTTGTGAAACCAAACCTCTAGGGCAAAAGTATTCTACCAAAGTACCTACTGAAGGTCCAGATAGCTTGACTTTACACAATGTAGACCTTATGTACCTGAATGATGGATCCAGGTTGTTTAGAGCTACCCCTTATTTCAAGGACTCTGACCTTTATCTAAACTGGCTGACCAAAGTAGAGAAGGTCAAGGCAGACGATTGGAAGAAAACCGACATTTATGATTTGATCATGATGTCGAAAGCAGGTCCTACCTATTGCCCCATTATGCTGGCATCCTCGCTGTACTTCTGGGGTAACACCCATTACACTTTTCATCTCCCTTGTGGGTGCTATCCTAGAAGTACAACGAGGATGCCAGCATAATGCCGCTATCACAGGGCTAAAATCTCATGGATTAATTTACGATCCTGAGGTGGACTGTCTAGACACCATAGGGTTTTCGACCACCAAGCATACATACACCCATTTCATCAATTATTACCATAACAAGCAAACTGAAACCGTCAAAGATCAAGAACACATAGCATTTATAGCTATGTGGCTCTCTCGTTGCGTCTTATGTACAAAGTCTTTGCAGGTAGCGAGGAAATACCTCACTTTGGCCAACCAAGTGCACTTGAATCGAGGTATCTGGTTGAGTGAGATGATTCTGGCCAGTTTATATGAGTCTTTGAGAGAAGGTGCTGGTAGACTGAAAAGCCAAGAAAGCAACGGGAACTTCTTGTTGTCGGGGCCCTTCTGGTTACTTCAGCTTTGGCTCAACGCTATGTTCGAGACCAGTCTTCCTAACAAAAGGGTAGTTAACGAAGAAGACCCTAAGATAACACGGAGACGAGTCGAATGGACTCGATTGGTCAAGCTCACCCCTAGTGAAGAAGGATAAACACTTAGGAAGAATATCTCTGGCTTTATTAAGATGTTCGCAAAGCGCCATGAGTTCACCCCACAAATGAATCCCTTCGCAGAAGGAAATATGGCCCTGAATGGTTCACTAGGGCTTTTCCTCTTGCGCTCAAAAAACATGAAGCAGAGTCGAAACTTGTCTGGGAAGGTTTCTTAATACCTCGACTAATAGTCCACAAAATTAACCTCTTGAGAGGCCAAGCAGCTCTGATGGCTTACCAGCCAAACCTTGTATCTCGACAGTTTGGCTTAGTCCAAACGCTGCCCAAATGTCTATACGACAAGAAAGCCCATGTTATCCTCCCCAACACTATCTTCAATACCCTCGAGAGTTCGACACATCTAGCTCGACATGCTTACAAATCCCTCCTAACTCTTGTTTACTTCGAACCTTCTTACCTTTGCACCCAGGAATTCTATAACTGGTGGTCGAGGCACTATACTTCAAAATTGTTAGAACACAGATTGGTGTTTAATATATCTCTATGTTTTGATGATAACTCTAATGAAATTTTGTATTAAGAAAATATATACTCTAATTTTGTTCAAGTGTTTTTATTTCAGATATTAAAATAAATATTCTTATGGAAGCAAAAAATGCACCTGAACATTAATCTACGCAAAGCTCTGAAGCACCAGAAGCAAGTCATCAGAAGACTCTGAGCGCTGCCAGAAGAGACTCTGAAGCAGAAGCTGCACAAGACTCTGAAACAGAAGCTGCAGAAGACTCTGAAGCGTAGTTGAAGAATCTGTATGAGGAGTTTCAAGCATTGTTTCAAGAAGACTTTGAAAGTAATTTACGTTGCAAGTAC